ATTAGAAGTTTTCGCCTGGTTAGCAGGTTTTCTTCTTTTTAGCGATAGTTTCTTTTAGATTTTTAGTTTAGTTTTTTTTTATATTCCTTAGTATTAGTATTCGTTTTCTTTGATGTATTTGTTTTTATTATATACCCTTTTTTCATTCCCTATTATTTCCCTTTTTTTTTCTTTTTTCCTTCTCTGCGAGAAAGTGTCATCAGTTTGGCGGCATTCTATTGTAAAGTGGGAATCTTGATGGGGCGAGCAACAGCCAGCCGGTGAATTTGGAGGAAATAAGTCTGGAGTGAGTTCTGGATCTCTGGAGGAGGCCAAGTATTGCTAGGCAAATCGCATCTGGGCAAGACACAGCGGTTTAATGGTTCACCCTAACCGCAAGTAGATGTTTTGACATCTGCAAGGTACACCGGGGGTGAGTTTACTCTTTGGTTGGAACACTTATAGATTTTAGATTTCTTCAAATGCCGATATAGGAATAAAAGTCTGTTCCCATAATAAAGTAAACAGGATTGCTGAAGGAAAAAAAATAACTAATAATAAACTTAATAATAAACTAATACTACAACTCATTCTATAACAATACCTATCTTTAGGCTCTAAAATAAATAGAAATATTAGAAATTGTTTTTAAGTATGGTTAATAATGTTCAGTAAACAATAAATTTTAATAAATTTCAAAAAATTTTAATAAATAATTTTATAATCAAAACATAAACATAATTTTCTTGCAATGATGCTTTATTCTCCATATGTATTGAAACCTTGGGCAAATTCAGGGTCTTGCAATTCCATTGCTCAGTGGAATTTTTTTTTCTATGATAGCTGATGGGTCTAACAATATCAATATACAAAAAAACTATTTCTTAGCAACATAAATCATAAAGTAAATTAAAGACAGAAATTTATTCTAACCAATTTAACAGCCTCCATTAATGGTTCACATGAGTTTATTATCTCTTACAGAAATCATCGGAGATGAAGTATCTGGAATTGCTTGAAGAACAGCTTTTACAGCTTCAAAACCCTGCAGAGTAGCCTATTTAAACAAAAATTTTGATATATAAATAACAAATAGATTAAATAATAACTAATATATTGAAAGTATATATAACAAACTGGGCTTTAGCAAAATTATCATAATGATCACACATAATATTATCATTTGACCCATGATTAGTCAAAAATGATATACTAAAAAACTTCTTTTTTTTTATAATGCATCTTCCAACTTTATTTTTGCAATAGAGTGTATTCTTGAACCATGTATATTAAATTTGCTTTTGTATTTTCTTTTAAGATGTAAATCTTATGTTTATTTATTTATTTAAAGTTTTTCTGAATGTCCCAACTATCTATTGCCTCCAGAAGTTTGTCAATTTGCAGGAAAAAAGTGGAGTGAAATTGTAGGTAATGATAAAAAACTTAATCTCATCATTATTTTATGCACATATTTTTTAAGTTCTTATATTTTAGCCCGCACAGCTCGAAAAGACTTACAAAAAGAAGCGCAAAATTATGTTATCTGAAAAAATTGAGATCTTTATTTAAGTTTATGAGACAAGTGAGTGTAGCAACAGAAACCCCAAAATGCTCTCTCCAAAACCAGCAGCCATTCTATAAAGTGATGCCTTCTCATAAAAAAACATAATTTTTGGCCTATAAAAAGCGACCAATATCCACAATAAGTTGTTGATCTCTATATTGAAGACTCTGAGTATATATCTAGTGTCTATTAAATCACTGATATTGACCAAGAATTAGAAGAC